ACTTCACTAATCGCTAATCTTCTTGCGACGTGCGCTTATATACTCTTCGCAAGCGTCGTTTCCAGATTCTTCCAGATGGTCCGATTCCAGCACACTCCAGAATGCTCCAGTCACCAGAACATTCCAGAACACGCTGGAATTCAGTGCGTTCGGTAGCACGGTTATAACATTACCCCCTTCTTAGTTCTGTTCGTCCCGAACAGCTTTCGTTCCGGTGTCCGCATGGTACGGAGCCAGTCTATCCAAATGAACGATCTTCATTCTTGCTCTCGGCTTCCGATATTCCTGAATACGGTAGAAGACGTCATTCAAGTGGGTGATGACTTGATAAGGTTCTTCCCACCCTCGCTGGAGGTTTGAAGAACGTCCTTTCTTTCGCTGTGGGTTGTACAGCCAAACTAACTCGTCGACAGCAAAACCGTCACTGCTTCCTTTCAAGTCGTATCTGGTTTTGGCCACCTCCGTGTTTTTCATAATTTTAAGGCGTACGTAACGGTGGATATGGTTTAATCGCTGTCGAAGATTATCCACGTATTCTGTTAATGGTTGGTGTGGTTCAGGTGGTACGCCATATTTCACATCAGCTGGAGTTCTTAAGGTAGTCCCAAACAGAACTTTTGATGGCGTTTCTCCAGTAGTTGTGTGGATAGCACTCCAGTATGCCATAAGAAACAATGGTATATGACGATCCCAATCCCGTTGATTTTCGTCGACTACTTTAGCCAGATGTTCAATCAGGGTTTGGTTAAATCGTTCCACCATACCGTCAGACTGTGGGTGAAGAGGTGTCGTTCGAGTTTTGTTTATACCCAGCAGCTTGCACATTTCACCAAACAGTTGTGACTCAAAATTTCGACCTTGATCTGAGTGGAGTTCCAATGGGACACCATATCGACTAATCCAATTGAGTACAATTTCCTCAGCGACGGTACATGCTTCTTGGTTGGGTATTGGAAACACATCAGGCCATTTGCTGAAATAGTCCGCTACAACCAGAATGTAACGGTTTCCATAATCTGATACCGGAAAGGGTCCAGCAATATCTATAGCAATCCGTTCAAAGGGGACACCAACATTGTAGATTTGCATTGCTCCTTTTAGCCTTCTTTTGGGTCCTTTGACTGAAACGTATGTGTTACATTTTCGACACCAGCTCTCTACATCTTTTCTAACGGGAAGCCAGTAGAATCCATCTCGTATTTTGTCAAGGGTCTTGTTCACTCCTAAATTTCCCCCAGAAGGGCCGCCATGCATTTCATCAAGGATTTCGGTCGTTCTACTTCTTGGTATTACAACTTGCATGCGGTGTTTTGATCCATCAGCTGATTCCCATTTTCGTTTCAGCAAATCCCCTTCCAAATACAATGAGTCCCACTGAGCCCAATAACCCTTTAACACGGCACTATATTCTGAGATGCTTTGCCAGTCCGGTCGCTTGCCCTCCTTCTTCCATGTGATCAGATGTTGTAGGTCCTCATCCGCAAACTGTGCATCAGCAAGATCCGTCGGTGTCCAACCGTCATCCGCTGATATTGATGTTGCTCTTATGTCTTCCGATTGTATCTTCTCCTCGTGACGACAGCAATATTTGCATCCTGGTAAACATGGTCGACGTGAAAGAGCATCAGCATTACTATGAGTTGTTTCTTTGCGGTGCACGATCCCGAAGTCGTACATTTGTAAACGCTCCAACCATCGGGCCATCTGTCCTTCAAGATCCTTGAAATTGAAGAGCCATCTTAACGCTGCATGATCAGTTCGGAGAAGAAATTTCTGTCCATAAAGGTACTTGTGGAAGTGTTTTGTTGCATTGACTATTGTTAGTAACTCCTTCCTGGTCACACAATAGTTTCGTTCGGGCTTTGTGAATCCTCTGCTATAATACGCTAGCACCTTTTCTTCTCCGTCTATATGCTGTGACAAAACGGCTCCAATTCCGTTGTTACTTGCATCAGTATCTAACACAAACGTCTTGCCACGAACTGGATATGCTAGCAAAGGAGCACCACATAGTTCAACTTTTAACTTTTCAAATGCTGAGTCGCATAGGGTATTCCAGTTGAAAACTCGGTCCTTCTCGGTAAGTTGGTGGAGAGGTCTGGCAACTTTTGCAAAATCCTTTACAAAACGTCGATAGTACGTTGCCAATCCCAGAAAACTGCGCAATTCATTTTTATCCTTTGGAGTTGGCCAGTCTTTCACAATTTCTATCTTGCTGGGATCGGTTCGAACTCCATCTGAAGATACCACATGTCCCAAATAGTTAACTTCTTTAGAAAATAACCTGCACTTTTTAACGTTCAGCTTTAAATTTGCCACCCGAAGTCTTGTAAAGATCTCTCGTAAGTTTTCGACGTGTTGATCAAATGTTCTTTCTAGAACAATTATGTCGTCTAAATAGACAAGACAGGTTTTCCAGTTAAGACCTTGCAATACACATTCCATCAGTCGCTCGAATGTAGCTGGAGCATTGCACAATCCAAATGGCATGACGGTGAAT